TTAGTTTAATTGCGTTAATTACTCAGCACCCCCTGATTAATTCACACGAACAGTATGCGTCGAGACGCGTGGCGTTATAACAATACATTCCCGCTGCCACGCAAAACAAGAAATACGTGACGAAAACGCGCGATCGTTTATAGATCAATTGCGAAACGAGTCCAAAATGCGTCATTTTCGAGCCATACCGCTCTCAATGCAATTATCATCGAAAACTGCCGTCACACGCGTGTTTATGATGAACAGTAATATCTGTATGAATAAACAATCCAGCAAAATGTTTCCTAACCGACGATTGGCACGCTGCCAGCGCCAGTATTCGCTAGCAGTGGTGAGGGAGCCGCGGAGGATGCGCAGGCTGTATTCGTACAGCCTTTTTAGCATCGTAAGGAGTAATGAGGGACAAGGTAAGAGACGGACGTGCCGATTATAGCAAGCTATGTAAATTAGAAGCAGATTGCGGGAGACCGGAAATCTGAGCGTGATCGCTTTTTGCGCGTGCTATGTATTCCACGCAAATCAAAGCCGCATTAGAAACTGCTGGCAAAACAGCTAATTTTGTGGGAAACGCTGAATTGGGCCAACTACAAGCGCCGCCTGGCTGCGAGGAAAAATAATTCGCGTACTGTGATATTATTCATTCTCAGCATTCAATTGTTTGTGTTAACGGTTTAAAACATTAAAGGAAGGTCTGCAGTGTATACGTCATATTCAGAACGTGTGTTGTTGTGCTATTCCACACAGCCACTGAAGAGATAGCGATATTTTACCGCCCACGTCTCTAGGTAATCGTCCATGCATTTCCAAGTTATCGCCCGTAAACGAATAAAAGCTGCGTGTTTTCTTTTAAAAAAGTGTTTTCTTTAAAAAAAGTGTTTGTTTAACGTGTTTCTCTTCCATCGTTTAAAGTATGTGTTTTTACTCATTTCGAAAATGCTAGTGCTGCATATAGATACGTGCGTGTCATTGCAAGTGGCTATCGGTGCAGATACTCCCCAGATATAAACCAGATATGGCGCAGTTTCTTGCACCGTTGTTCCCGTATTCATGTAGAATAAACATAGCGGTCTTGATGTACGTATGACATTCATATGATATTCATGACATTTAACGTGTTTCTCTCCCTCGTTTA